GCGAGAGAAAGAGCGAGCGAGCGAGAGAATGAGAATTGCAATTGCAAAAGCCTTCTGATTTGGAGTAAAAAAAAATCTCCAAGAAGACTGCAATTGGCCAACAGCTTTTTAAAAAATCTCTTCCGGGTTTTCAACGGTTCCAAGTTTATTTAGATAATTTTAAAATGCAAAAAAAAAAGGGACAACAAATGAAGCAATTCATCCGAGCATTTTAAAGTTTCTCACGTACTCTTTTTACATTGCAATGGTACGTGGTACATCTTAAACTTTCTATTTTGCATTTATGTGATATGCGTTTTATAAACAACAATGGTAGAATGATTTTATTTAATGGCTAAGACTTTAACATTTCTCTAGCTCGCATAGGCACTTAAGTGATTTCTGGGTAAATGTCTATTGTGATGGTTTTGTTTTAAAGATGTAGCTTTGTGGATGGTGTTTTTGCTATGTGCATCAGAGACCGGGTTTCCTTTTCTTTTCTTTTTTTTTCGGGATTTGAAAAAATTGCTGAGCTTGACAGATTTTTTTTTTCCTCCTAGCGCTTGCTCGGTTCCAGAAAGGGGTGGGGGGAAATCCTGTACGTGCTCTGTTCTGTAAAAGACGTCTGCCCCTCAGCACTCAACCTAACTCGAAAAGAAATGTCTGGACCAGGAGAATAATTGACGATTTGATCCTCTAATCAATGGGACAACATAGGAGATTGACAAAACCTCTATCCAATCATGAGAACGCTTGGGTGTACAATGGTTCTCAGTAGCCAGAGGGGGCGGGGCAGAGGAGATCAGAAGTTCTCTGCGGCTCTGAAGGGGATGGTGTGGTTCAAGCTGTCAAAGCTACGAGCTCTTCCGGATTTAGCAAGCACAATAGGAAAGAGTTTTTTAGTTTAAGAAAAAAAAAAAAAGCTGATCGGAGGATTTTTGCATGAATCGTATGCCTTCTTCCTTGCCCTTTGGAAAAAGTCAGAAAAATTCTCCAAGAGAAATAACTTTACTTGAGTTATTAACTTTGCATTAGTTATTATTTTTAAACTCAGGGAAGTTGGTAACTGTTGTGGAAGGTGAGGTTCAATTTCTTTAAGAAACGTGTAGCTTACATCTTGCCTGAATTGTGGGTCTATAGTGAGGTTTGGGAAGTAATATATTGCATACTCAGCATTTCAAAACTTCTCACTTTGATTATCTTAGAAGCTTTGACATTTCAAGTACTTTGAAAGAATGGGTGAGCCTGTCTTCTTGAACTCTAAACAACAGTTTTAAGGAAGAGAGGATGTTTCACAGGTGGACCGATAGCTGTTTTATACATTGAAAAGGAAGAGGGGGAGTGGTTTTTCTTGGTCTTTCTTGAGTTCTGCTGTTTAAGTATATGGTCAGTAGCAAATAGGATATTAAGACCGGCCAAGTTCACATTTCTTTTTGTTACCACAACAACCCCTGTGGAGAGTGCAAGTGTGGAAGATTGCTGACTTACTAACTGTTAGCTGGAGTCTAGCCTCTTGGACAAATCCTTGATACTAATCCAGTGGAAACCAACTGCAGTAGCTTGTCTTGGAGACAGTAACTGGCAGCCTCTGACTAAAATATATCCATCTCCTCCTCTGTTAGCAGTGTAGACACCTAATTCTGTTGGGAAGTGAATGGAAAATAATATGGGCTCTTTCCTTTCTTTGGATTAAATTCCCATTGAGCTACTTCCCAAGGCTTTAGGCCTTCTGGTCAAATCTGGTTTGGAAATTTGATGTAAGAATTCACTCGAATGCTCGCTTCAGCAACATAATTCAATTTAGGATTATATGTACATAAGAAAAATCTGCACACAAGTGACCACCAGGTCAAAAACTAAAGAAAAAAAAATATTGAAAAATGCTAGTTAATAAAGTTAGTTTTGGTAAGAACTACAGAGTTACGGTGTTGTCACTTAGGAATCCCAGTCCCATCTTCACTGCTCTGGGCATTAAAATCTAAATCATATTAATAAGATCTCCCTATTAAGTAACCTCCAAATGAGAGTTATTTGAGATGTACATATAAGTGAAACCTTATTGACGTAATTTATATATCTAAGAGGATTTCACTAAAGCTGGCAAGGTAATGTTTCTGCAAATAAAACACAGTAAATGCAAGGCTGGGCTCTGTGCCAGGAAGAATATGGATAGCAGAGAGCATGACAGGAGCCTCCTTTGCGCAGAGACAATCCCATTTCAAGGCAGCCTCCTACCACTTGCAAAATAAATGACTGGAGCAGTTATTTCCAATAAGGGGTTTATCCTTCCTAACAATGGGTCATTTATATGATTGCAGTAAACTAGTTTTTGTACTTCACCTGTGTTTCCTATACTATTCTCTTTACTATCCTTTCTTCTTCCTCCCTCCATCCCTGCTCTCTCTCAAGTGTCTTAGTATCTTTGTCAACTCTGGACAGGATTTACTTTTGCAACTTGGGAAGAGGGGAGAGAGTTGGAAATGTTTTTTACCCCCAGTCTGCCCTTTGAGAAACATCTGTTTCTTTGTGTGTGTGTTTAAATTTATGCCTGTTGGAGAGAAAGTTACCAGAAGCCTTTCTGTAACTGTAACTCTTCTACTGTATTTTTCTCGGTCTTGTTTCCAAAGGCTGTAGTTGGAACTGTGCTTTGTAGTGTTTCCCCCGCCTCCTTCCCCCACCCCTGCGGGGGAGGGAGCGAGAGCTGGCGGAGATAGGAGAGAAAGCAGGAGCGGATGTGAAGGGCTTTGGTGCTGAACTTGGATCCAGCCCTTGCCTAGAGGGCGCAAACAATCGTCCCATATCCAAAAGTCTTACGAAGGGCGCCAAAAGTTACTTAAGATAATATTGCTAACCGCAGAAAGCTGGAAATCGCAGGCACATCCACTGCTGCAACAAAAGAAGTTTTTAAAGTAGAAATATCAGCATTAAATTACTTTCCCCCATTTTTTTTTAAACAAGGACGACGTGCCAGTCCTTAAAAAAAAAACAAAAACCTTTTTTTTTCCTTGAGACTCAATCAAAAGTAAGAGTCTTTGCTGTTTTGAAAAGAGGCAGATGTGAAGTGTATCTTTTAGTACACCAAAAGAAAGATTTTAATCTGCTCTGGGAGAGAGCTTCCCAAGAGTACACATTCCGAACAATAACTTCTCACTGTGCCTCAGTTACATGTTGGGACCGTCAGCCAGAAACTTCTATCGAGGAAACTTGGAGCGCCTTGAAGTTATAGATCCCAGCAAAGGTTCTCGTGGCCAGGGATGTTGTCTCTGTAACTCGGGTTAGCTTTTAGGACATTTCTCCCCTGCTGCAATCCAAGAGGAACCAAGGAAAAGCAGTTGTTTAGTTTGGAAAAATGGACTCTCTCATTAAAGGTGGAAATTATTATTTCCCCTCACCTCTTAATAACTAATCTAAGCGATTTCCAAGTATGTCCAGGAGGGCGGGGGCGGGGAGAGGAGAAGAAGAGAAAAAGGTTTCTTGAGCATTCAGGAATTATTTTAGTAATAAAGTAACCGGAGTACAAGCACAAAATAACTTTAAATAGATGCAGAATTATTTCAGAGGTTTTATTTCATTCCTTCTCCAATAGAATATTTCCTGTCCCTTGCTTAAAAGAAAAAGTCTGAATGAGAGTGGTCCTAACACATCACTCAGATGTGAGTGGGCATTCCTTCAGGAATTTCCTCTCTTCAGAGACTCTCCAGCTATGTCACCTCCATCAAGGAGCAGATTCCCTTGTCTTTGTGCCAGTATCTTTCAACGTGATACCCTCCTCTTTCCTTTTGGAATTTTGAGAAGGGTGTCAAATGCAGCAGGCTGCAAACTACCATGAAGGAGAGGAGGAGGAAAATATGGGCTAGGGTTTGGAGGAGGCAGGTATACTCCCCCCCCCCACCAGGAGAGAAGAGAGCCTAGGGAGAAAATCTGAGGTTAAAAAAAACTGGAAAAGCAGGCTTATTGGCAACTTGCCAAACCCTAAAAACCAACCCCCTTTTCTGCCAAAACAATACTTTAGCCAACCTAAAATAATTGCAGGAAGTTCTTTTCCATTTTAAGAACTATTACCTGGGGGAGGGAAAAAGGGGATTCTTAAAAGGCACCCTTCCAGAGGTATCTCAGAAACAGGGACGGTAATGATAGCCTATGTCCAGTTCTGGGCACACGTTTGTGGATCAGAGTATCTCCCTTCCCTAAGGGGACATCCCTTTCACTTTTTTTCCCTCCTAAAAAGAAAAAGATGTCACAGCTAAACCACTGTTGTTTAACGTGATAGAACTTTTTGTGTGGTGTCTGTGTTCAAACCCACTAGTTTCACAGTCCTGGAAGGGAGAACGCTCATTAATCTCCGCCTTCCTTTCTCCAGACCCCCCCCCCCCAATCCGGGTGAATCTTCTGTGTGAAAATTATTCCCTACCACCCCCGCTTCTGAATACCATAGGACCGAAGCTGCACAAAGTTTGCAGGATTGTGTGCATAATTACCTCTGCCGACGAATCTATTCCCACAGAAAGCTTCGCTGTAGAGATTACAATGCTTTGAGCCTTACCGCATTTCAGAGGGGGGAAAAAAAGTTACCTAGGAGGTCTGATTTTTCAAAGAAATTTGCATACATGCAAATGTGCCGCCCGGCCTCCTCCTCGGTTCTCTACGTGCCCACACAGTGGCCCGCGGGTGCAGGGCAACCTGGCAAAGTTGCCCAAGTCCTCCGCCGAGGTCCGCGAAGGTCTGCGGCGGGGGTGGGGGGATGGGGATGAGGAAAAGTAGTTTTGTTTGCTTAAGCACATCCTGTGGCAGCCTATAGCTGCCCCGGAGTACAGACTGTAACTGCTCCTCACTGCGTTACCCAGTAATGCGCTGATCGGGGAAGGGGGGCGGGGGGGCCGGGG